GGCTCAGTCTGTAATTCCAGCGCTTTGGGAGGCTGAGGTGAGTGGATTGCCTGAGCCTGCGGGTTCGAGACCTGCCCGGGCAACTTGGCGAGACCTCATCTCTACAATAAATAAAAAATCAGCCAGGCGTGGCAGCGCACGCCTGTAGTTCCAGCTACTTGGAAGGCCGAGGTGGAAGGATCACCGGAGTCCAGCAGGTCAAGGCTGCGGTGGCCGGGAGCTGCCACTGAACTCCAGTCTGGGCGACACAGTGACTCCAACTCAAAAAAATTACAAAAATTTTTTAAAAAATGGATAAGTCATATTAACAAGGTACAGCACAGCCCAGGAGGTTGAGGCTGCCGCAAGCTGTGATCACACCATTGCACTCCAGCCTGGGCGACAGAGTGAGACTCTGATTCAAAATAAAAATAAACGCAAAAGGCCAGGCATGGTGGCTCATACCTGTAATCCCAGCACTTTGGGAGGCTGAGGTGAGTGGATTACTTGAGACCCGGAGTTCCAGACCAGCCTGTGCAACATATTGAGAGACTGAGGTAGAAGGATTGCCTGAGCCCAGTGGGTCGAGGCTGCGGTGAGCAGTGGTTATGCCACTGTACTCCAGCCTGGACGAGAGTGAGACCTCAACTCAAAAAAGAAAAAATAATGTTGAAGATGAGGTCCACAGCAGCAGACCATCCACATCAATTTATTAGAAAAAAACTAATCTTGTTGATGCCCCAATTGAAGAAGACCAATGATTAAAAGCAGAAATAATAGCCAACACTGTAGACATCTCAACTGGTTCAGCTTACACAATTCTGACTGAAAAATTGAAGTTAAGCAAATGTTCCACCCAGTGGATGCCAAAACTGTTGCACCCAGATCAGCTGCAGACAAGAGAAGAGCTTTCTTTTTCTTCTTTCTTTGTTCTTGAGTTGGAGTCTCACTCTGTCACCCAGGCTGGAGTGCAGTGGCATGCTCACAGCTACTGCAGCATCGACCTGCTGAGCTCAGGCTATCCATCCACCTCAGCCTTCCAAGTAGCTGGAACTACAGGCACTCACCACCATATCCATTTCATTCCTGGACAAGAGAAAATCCTGAAGCATTTCTTCAAAGAATTGTAACAGGAGGTGAGATGTGGCTTTACCAGTACAATCCTGAAGACAAAGTACAGACAAAGCAATGGCTACCAAGAGGTGGAAGTGATCCAATCAAAGCAAAAGAGGACTAGTCAAGAGCAAAAGTCATGACAACAGGTTTTTTGGGGGGATTCTCAAGGCATTTTGTTTACTGATTTTTCTTGAGAGCCAAACAACAATCGCATCTATTTATTATGAGAGTGTTTTGAGAAAGTTAGACAAAGCTTTAGCAGAAAAATGCCCAGGAAAGCTGTACCAGAGAAATTCTCCACTATGACAATGTTCCTGCTCATTTCTCTCATCAGACAAGGGCAATTTTGCAAGAGTTTCTGTGGGAAATCACTAGGCATCCACCTTACAGAACTGATTTGGCTCTTTCTGACTTCTGTTTCTTAATTTTAAAAAATATTTAAAGTTCGGTGGCTCAGCCTGTAATCCCAGCACTTTGGGAGGCCGAAGTGAGTGGACTGCCTGAGCCTGTGGGTTTGAGACCAGCCCAGACAACTTGGCGATACCTCGTCTCTACAATAAAATAAAAAATTAGCTGGGCATGGTAGTTCACACTTGTAGTTCTGGCTACTTGGAAGGCTGAGGTGGAAGGATCACCTGAGCCCAGCAGGGTGAGGCTGCGGTGTCATGATCGTGCCACTGCACTCCAGCCTAGGTGACAGAGTAAGACTCCAAATCAAAAAAAAAAATTTAAAGGACGCCCATTTTTTCTCTTCAATTAGTAATATAAAAAAGACTGCATTGACATGGCTAAATTCCCAGGACCCTCAATTATTTTTTTGAGTTGGAGTCTCACTCTCGCCCACACTGGAGTTCAGTGGCCGCTCCTGGCCACTGCAGCTTCAACCTGCTGGGTTCAGGCGATCCTTCCACCTCAGCCTTCCAAGTAGCTGGAACTACAGGCGCGCACGTCCAGCTAATTTTTGATTTATTGTAGAGATGAGGTCTCACCAAGTTGCCCAGGTGGGTCTCGAACCCGCGGGCTCAGGCAATCCACTCACCTCAGCCTCCCCAAGCAAGGATTACAGGCTGAGCCACCGAGCCCAGCTGACCCTCAGTTCTTCAGGGATGGACTGACTGGTATCACTTACAAAAGTGTATTGAACTTAATGGAGCTTATGTTGAGAAGGTTTATATTTTAATCTTTTTTTTTTTTGAGTTGGAGTCTCACTCTGTCGCCCAGACTGGAGTGCAGTGGCCGCTCCCGGCCACCGCAGCCTCGACCTGCTGGGCTCCGGCGATCCTTCCGCCTCAGCCTTCCAAGTAGCCAGAACTACAGGCGTGCGCTACCACGCCCGGCTGATTTTTTTTTAAATTATTTATTGTAGAGATGAGGTCTCGCTGCCCAGGCGGGTCTCAAACTCGTGGGCTCAGGCAATCCACTCACCTCAGCCTCCCAAAGGCGTGGGATTACAGGCTGAGCCACCGAGCCCGGCTTATATTTTAATCTTTTACTTTCATGAACTTCCTGAATTTCCCTCATATATTAGGTGTTCAGGAAATTCTAGTTGAATTGAAACTCTGATTTCAGGTGAAGTTTATATCTGATGGGGTAGGGGTAGGGGAGAATGGGAATGCTTGAATTAACCCAGTAAGTTGTAGGACTTTAGGAATTTTCTCCAGAGTGGGTGATCCTCAGGTTTGGGTCTGAAGATTCCTCAAAAATGGGATGGGGAAAAACACATCCAAAAGTCCTGAAGCACAACAGGAATTGGGCATGCAAAAGTGTGGGTAAGTGTCATCCCTGGGGAAAGGAATCAAAAGGCAGACACCTGACTGCAGGACTTTTCCTGGAATATATTGGAACAGCAAGCTTTTGGGTGAACCATGAGGCAGAGGATTTTGGACAATGAAAGGTTGGTAGGTTAGACTTTGGAAAGGTTGGTAAGTTAGACTTCTCTAACCGTTTTACACAGCATTACCACTTGAAAGGAAAAAAAAAGTCCAACCCAAACCCCAAATAAATACTTATTTGCAAGTTTTTTATGTGTACAACTGCAGTAATGTTATACACTTTATAAAAATTTACACAATAAAGAAATGTTAAAATATAAATATTATATTAGATTTAAAATATAAATATTCAAGTATTTTCCTGCCATATACTACACGCACTCTGTGGCGGTCTCCTCCCCCCCACTACAAACACACAAACAGTACTTGGGAGATGCTGATTTGTCAAAGGGGGAGTCATTGGAGGTTCTGTAACAGAAAACAGGCATGGTAGCAGTAGATACATCAACTTTGTTTATTTATTTTTGCGTAGGAGTCGCTCAGTCACCCAGGCTGAAGTGCAGTGGCACGCTCACGGCCACCGCAACCTCGGCCCGCTGGGCTCAGGCCATCCTTGCGCCTCAGCCTTTCAAGTAGCTGGAACTACAGGAGCACGCCACCACGTCCGGCTAATTTATTTATTGTAGAGACGAGGTCTTGCAATGTGCCCAGGATGGTCTCGAACCCCTGGGCTCTGGCAATCCTTTCGCCTCTCCTCCCAAAGTGCTGCCATTACAGGCGTGAGCCACCGGCACCCGGCTATGTCCACAAACTTTAAAAGCTGAGACATCAAAGAATAGGACTACCTTGGAGTGCTTTATACATTAACTCAGTTAATACATATAACAACCCTACGCTGTAGGTTTTCTCTTAACAGGTCAGAAAACTGAGGCACGGTGAGGTTGAGAAACTTTCCCAGGGATACCGAAGTGGTGAGGCCAACATTTGACCCCAGGGCATCTGGGCTCACAGTCTCTGTGCTTAACCACGGGGGGCTGGAGGAGCCAATGTTATTTCTCTCTTGTGGCTTTGGTCAATTCTTTCACCAATCACGGCTGTCGTGATGCGCTAGCACAGTGCTAGGGAACAGCAAGAACTCATCAACTTCTAGTCTGCTTTTTTTCCGGCTAGGTCTTCTCCAAGGCTGCTGCCTAGGGAAGGTTAGTTACCTGTAATCATCGCCTCCAAATGCCGAGACGGCCGAGCGCACAGGCGCAGATATCGCTAGGCTTGGTTTCTATGGTTTCCGGGGCAAGACGGCGGATGAAAAGCCGACTTCCGGTATCGCGCTGCAAACGTCGCGCTGCAGGCATCCTTTGCGGCAGGCGCCCGCGTCTCAAGCCATCGTCTCGTAGCGGCGGCCAGCGAAGGTACAAGGGCATTGCGGCGGAACGGTAGGGGTTGCATATGTACACACGACAGTTTAGCCTAGAGATCTGCCCTCCGAGATTGCTAACAAAATTCTTGCAGGCTTCCTGGGTCTTCCTCTTCTCCCTGACTCGAGCTCTGTTCGCGCTCTCTGCTTTCCCCGGCCCTTTCATCCACACCGCCAATGTCACCCAAGCCTGGACCCCACCTCTCTCCGATATCTTTACAGATTAATGTAGCTTTCTGTCGGACTCATGCTTTGGCTTCCTGCTTCTTTTTTTTTTGAGTTGAAGTCTCACTCTGTCGCCCAGACTGGAGTGCAGTGGCCGCTCCCGGCCACCGCAGCCTCGACCTGCTGGGCTCCGGCGATCCTTCCGCCTCAGCCTTCCAAGTAGCCGGAATTACAGGCATGCGCTACCACGCCCGGCTGATTTTTTTATTTATTGTAGAGATGAGGTCTCGCTGCCCAGGCGGGTCTCGAACCCGCGGGTTCAGGCAATGCACTCACCTCAACCTCCCAAAGGCGCGGGATTACAGGCTGAGCCACCGAACCCGGCTGGCTTACTGCTTCTTAACCTAAAGTCTTCGTTCCTTGTCCCTGCTTTCCAGGCTCTGCGTGATTTCGAACCCGCTAGCCTCTTGAGCTCATTTCGTTCTTCCCATCAGGCACGCTGCGTTCCAGCCACGCTGGGGTTTCAGTAATCCTCAGACACAACAGCACCTTCGACTGTAGCTCGTGCTGTTGCTCTGCTGAACCCTCTGCCCACTGATCTTCACTTGGCGAACTCATAACCCATCTTAAAGGTATTTTCAAGTCTCCTGGGCACAGTTGGTGCTTCCTCCTTCGGGCTCTTATCCACTCGTGTTCCTAGTGTGTGCCTTTAGAGCTTACTTTGGAGCTACTTTTCCCTCCCATTTCAGTGTCTGGGACGTAATTACTCAGCAAATGATGGAAAGAATGGGAAGAAACTTTAGACCTTCATATCTTCCATGCACACCCAATAATGACATTTGTGTGTGTGGTTCTTTCCAGACTTCTTATGCAGACAGTTTTCCTTTGGTATTATTGAAATCTTTTTATTTTTTCCCATTTAACATGAGCGGGGCGCGGTGGCTCACGCCTGTAATTCCAGCACTTTGGGAGGCAGAGGAGAGAGGATCGGCTGAGCCTGACTGGTCGAGGCTGCTGTGACCGTGAGAGTACCACTGCACTCCAGCCTGAACGACAGAGTGAGACTCCAACTCAAAAAAATTATGTGTTGGCCGTGTAACTTATCCTTTTTTTCCTCAGTGTCTATTACAAGGGGGTACCAAATTTTATTTCATTTTTTTTTTAAATTGGAGTCTCACTCTTATTGCCCAGACTGTAGTGCAGTGGCTCGCTTACGGCCCACCGCAGCCTTGACCTGCTGGGCTAAGGTGATCCTTCCGCCTCAGTCTTCCAAATAGCCGGAACTACAGGTGCGCGCTACTGTGCTCGGCTAATTTTTTAATTTATTGTAGACGAAGTCTCACCAAATTGCCCGGGCTGATCTCAAAGCCCCGGGCTCAGGCAATCCTCTCGCCTCAGCCTCCCAAAGTGCTAGGATTACAGGTTGAGCCACCGTGCCCGACCAATATCAAAATTTAATTACCGATTTCTTTATTTGCACATTTGTTTGAAATTACTTTTTAAATTTTTTTCTGCATTTACTGAATCCTTGCTTGCTTCCCACCCTCAAATCATATTTTGTTCAGTTGGGAAAATATACACATAAATAGTCCATTACAGTGATGGAGGAGCACGAGATTCAGAAGGACTTCTTAGGAGAAGTGTCATTTAAGTTGATAGGGAAAATATAAATAAATGTTTTGTACTTGTGCTTTTCTTTTCAGTTATTTTCTTCAGATCTATTTTCTTTTTTTTTTTAATCAATATTTTTTATTGTGATATTGTGGGGTACAGTTAAGGGTTAGGTATACAAATATGCTTCGTTCAGGCACCCTTGTTGATAAGAGGTGTCTCCTCATCCCCAGACATTTACTACCGCAGATCTATTTTCAAAGAATTGGGCTTATTGAGTCAAACATAAACACTCTTTTGACTTTTGATTAAAATGACCTTATCAATATAGAGGCCTTATATATTGTTCTTTAATTTAGTTCTTTTTTCCTTGAGTTTTGCGAAAGGGCAAAAAATCGCTCATCTGCCATTAACTAGAAGAACCAGTATAATGCAAAGGTTTGGTGAGAAGAAATTGGAAAAATAACATCATACAACTTTCTAGAGATCTATTTATCATGATTAACTATGTTATTTTTTCTTAAAATTTCACCTGTGATTGCACTCCTGTGGCACTTTATTTATTTATTTTGTCTTCCATTGCAGCCATGCCTTTCTTTGATGTGCAAAAAAGGCTGGGCCTTAACTTAGATCGAGGGCTGACAATCCAAAGTGCTGAACAGCCCTACAAGATTCCTGCTCGATGCCATGCTTTTGAAAAAGAATGGATTGAATGTGCACATGGAATTGGTGGTATCCGGGCAGAGAAAGAGTGCAAGATAGAATTTGATGATTTTATAGAATGTATTCTTCGGCTGAAAACGGTGAGGAAGTGATGGAGGTGGGAGCTGAATTACTTCCTTGTTTCTTTGGGGCTGCTCAAGTGTCGTTGGTTATTTGCCAATGTGGATTGGCAAAGCTTTTGTGGTGAAACACCTTTTCTACTTTGATACCGTGACAAGGAAGTTAAATGCCTTCAGATTTGAGGATGGCCCTTGTTGTTCCTTCATGTTTTTCCTCTTCTCCAAATTTTCCTTAGCATTTGTGCTCTGCTCTAGCCACCAGGTTAGAAATTGTATGTGTATGTGCTTCCATTTTTTCAGTAGTCTATAAAACAAAGAATATCAACCAATTTTGGATGTTTATCCTTTGGAAATCTTGAGTGAAAATATTTCAAGTTTGTTGAACCCTCATTGTAGAAGAGGTTTAACCTGTTACTGAACATGGTATAACAACCTGAATTCGTTTCTACTCTGAGATGGATAGAGATGTTAATGAGATTGCTTTTGGCAAACCTGATCAATACAGGGGAAAAAAGGATGTTAGTAGCATAGTTTCATCTCCACAAGAGTTGAATGAGTTGTGTAGCATATAGGGCCATATTCTCCCTTAGAGAAGAAATATCTGGATGTGGGCTGTCATTTTGTCCATTTCTCTGTTTCAGATATAACAAATAGAAATTTTTTTTTATTGTTGTTTTTTTTTTGAGTCGGAGTCTCACTCTGTCGCCCAGGCTGGAGTGCAGTGGCACGCTCGTGGCCACCACAGCCTCTGCCTGCTGAGTTCAGGCGATCCTTCTGCCTCTGCAGAACTACAAGTAGCCAGAACTACAGGCACATGCTACCACGCCCGGCTAATTTTGGATTTATTGTAGAGACAAGGTCTTACCATGTTGCTCAGGCTGGTCTCGAACCCATGGGCTCAGGCAGTCCTCTCGCCTCAGCCTCCCAAAGTGCTGGAATTACAGGTTTGAGCCACCACGCCCAGCCTAGAAATGTTTTTATTACTTCCAACTTCTTGGAGTTTGAGGAGACAATTTAGAGTTTTAGTTACCTCTTTTTTTTTTTTTTGAGGTGGAGTCTCACTCCCGCACCCAGGCTGGAGTGCAGTGGCGCCCTCATGTCCACCCCAGCATTGGCCTGCTGGAGTCTGGCGATCCATCTGCCTCAGCCTTCTAAGTAGCCAGAACTATAGGCACGTGCTACCACACTGAGCTAATTTTTTTTTTTTTTTGAATTGGAGTCTCACTCTGTCACCCAGACTGGAGAGCAGTGGCTGCTCCTGGCCGCTGCAGCCTCGACCTGCTGGGCTCCGGCGATCCTTCCGCCTCAGCCTTCCAAGTAGCTGGAACTACAGGCGCGTGCTATCATACCCGGCTAGTTTTTGATATATTGTAGGGATGAGCTCTCGCCAAGTTGCACAGGCTGATCTTGAACCCATAGGCCCAGGCAATCCACTCGCCTCCGCCTCCCAAAGTACTGGGATTACAGGCTGAGCCACCAAACCCAGCCTAATTACTTTTTTTAATTAATTAATTTTTTTGTTTTAGTTGAAGTCTCACTTTGTTGTCCAGGCTGGAGTGCAGTGGCATGCTCATAGCTACCGCAGCCTCAACCTGCTGGGCTCAGGTAATCCTTCTGCCTCAACCTTCAGTGTAGCTGGAACTACAGGCACACGTCACCACACCCGGCTGATTTTCTGATTTACTGTAGAGACGAGAGATCTCGGCATGTTGCCCAGGCTGGTCTCGAACCTCTGGGCTCAGGCAATCCTCTCACCCCCTCCTCCCAAAGTGCTAGGATTATAGGTGAGCCACCATGCCTGGCCTTTAGTTAAATTTGTACCAGAGTTATCTTGGATCAAAATTTTTTTTTTTGAGTTGGAGTCTCACTCTATTGCCCAGACTGGAGTGCAGTGGCTGCTCCCGGCCACCGCAGCCTCGACCTGCTGGGCTCCGGCGATCCTTCCGCCTCAGCCGTCCAAGTAGCCAGAATTACAGGCATGCGCTACCATGCCCGGTTGATTTTTTGATTTATTGTAGAGATGAGGTCTCGCTGCCCAGGCAAGTCTCGAACCCGCGGGCTCAGGTGATTCACTCACCTCAGCCTCCCAAAGGTGCAGGATTACAGGCTGAGCCACCGAGCCCGGCTTGGATCAAAATTTAACATTGTTTTGTCTTGGTCATATGCAGTGGTTCACACCCATAATCCCAGCACTTTGGGAGGTGGAGGTGAGAGGATTGCCTTAGCCCAGGGGTTCAAGACCAGCCTGGGCAACTTGGCAAGACCACATCTCTACAGTATATCAACAAATTAGCTGGGTGTGGTGGTGTACGCCTGTAGTTTCAGCTGCTTGGAAGGCTGAGGTGTAAGATTCACCTGAGCCCAGCAGGTCGAAGCTGCGGTGGCTGTGAGTGTGCCCCTGCACTCCACCCTGGGTGACAGAGTGAGACTCCAACTCATAAAAAAACCAAAAAATAAAAATAAAATAAAAATGTTTCTCTTAACTCTGCCATTTGGACGAAGTGCAGCTAAACATGGAAGGGATGAGAGAATGTCAGCCAATAGTTTTGTGCTGATCTCTGCAGGAATGTTGATTATTAGATGAGTAATATTTTAGTATTACTGAGAGACCGTGGGTAGATTATAGTTAGTTATCTTCTAGCCATTTAGTTTACAACATGTCTTACCAGCTTTTCTTCTGGTCCCCAGTTATTTATTGTTCCAATTAAGATTTTACCTAGTCTTGAACGTTTCACATCAGAGGCAGTGTAGTGGAAAGAACATTGGATTGGGAGTTAGGAGGGTTAGGTTTTGCCACCACAGTTTTGTACCTTTTGGCAAGTTCCTTTTCCTTCTTGGTCTTGGCTTCCTTATCTAGAAAAATTAAAGAGTTAGTCCAAGGTCATTTTTTAATCCTGTGAATTTATGAATATGTCAGTTACCACTTTAGAGGTCACACTAAATGACTGTATACCTCCCTCTTGGTAATGACTATATATCTCCCTCTAGGTGAAGAAGCTTGTGAATCAGGGAATTAGAATCTAGCACGGTTCTAAGTTCTTAGCGTGTAATTGCATTTATTTCTCATGACAATCCTATAAGATGAGTTACTATTATTTTCTCCACTATCTGAAGGGGGACCCAAAATTTAAAAATAATTATTTTTTGGAGGTTGGGCCCCTTGCAGTACAGGCTTCCCCTGCTAAGTAAGTGTTCTAGGAACCCATTGACATCAGTGTACCGGCTAGCATTGTTGTGAGAGACTGTGTTTGGCTTCATTGAATCTTTTTTCATTCAACGCATTTGCCCATTTCATGATGGGTGATTTACGAGCACACCTGCCCACATCGTGCTGAGTATTCAGCAGTTTTTGACCAAAAGTGGCATGACCCCCATGTTCCACCCTTCCCTATTCATCCCATCTCACCCTGAGTGACTTTTTATTTTTATTTTTTTGAGTTGGAGTCTCACTCTGTCGCCCAGACTGGAGTGCAGTGGCTGCTCCCGGCCACCGCAGCCTCGACCTGCTGGCTCCGGTGATCCTTCCGCCTCAACCTT